CATATTTTCGCCCGTAATTGATTAATTCCTGAGTGACCTCTCCCCAAGTCCACACTTTCATATTTTGGGTCTTGCGATCAGGGGTTACCAGCCCTGCTAGTGCAGCCGTGGTCCTTTCGCCTTGGGGCACTGCGTTGATTGTACCCTGTAATTGTATGCCAATAGGTTTTAAAGATTCAGGGAGGCCCCTTATCAGGGGAGTCATTCGTTCAGGGTCAACCAGTATCATCATCGGGGACTCCTGTCTGGGTTTGAGCTCGCGATCGTACATCATTTGTAGGCATGCCACTTTTTGTACATTCTCTACCAATTGATCAACTGATCCCGTAATAGTGAGAGGGTCTCCCTGTTCCAAGGGATTGAGACCTCCAGCCCAGTACTCTTACATCATCATACTGGTAAACTTCCCAGTGATATGGTTCCTTGCAAACCGAAGACTGAAATTTGTCATGTCTTACCAAGCACTGCATATCATTCTTTTTGTACTGCTTTCTCCAAAACCAAAAGGCATATCTAGTTTCCAGAATTAAGTGATTTACCATTTACAATTTGTAAGGTACCTTGGACATTTTTTTAAATGTGTGTGAACAGACTGGATTGATGAAGAATAAAGGCACAGATTTGATTTCATATCTGTAGATTAATAATGAATGTAGTAACTTTCTGTAATTGGAATTAAGCCCCTTATGTTTTCTATTTGAATGAAAAATCCTAGCTTACTCTTTTCTCTTGTAGTTTAAGTAGGATATTAAACCAAGTTTTTGTAAATAAGTAATCTTTCTCAATACACAAGGTAGTCAACTGGAAATGTCTGGTGTCACATAGACCAATTTGTCTGGGTCTGTATACATAAATACATATCTATAAAGGCAGGCCTTTTAATGACTCTTGTCAGCCGAACATGGCTCTTCTCATTCCTGTTTCTCTGGGCCTAGGCACTTTGAAATCTGATTCATCTAGAAAACTAAGATGAGATTAATTATCTGCATTGAAAAGAGAATTAAAACCAGGTGTTTAACTTGTTCCATATTGCTGCTTTAGGGTTTGAGCTTGAAATTGCCCCAAAAAATTATCTGCAGGGACAACTTAAGCAAGAATACTAGGTAGTGTGGCAAAATGTCCTTGAAACATATAAAACTGAGGTTTAAATTTCCCACAAGTTGCAATTTATTTACTAGATATTAATGAGTGATCTGTAAATTCTTACAGAAAATCTCTTTAATTTTGAAGGCCCTAAGCTAAGCTCTCAAACTCAAGCACATGTTTAATTTTGAGGTGTCTCAAGAACTCTTAAGTCAGTAGGGGTTATCCCTTGCATAAAGTGAATTGTGCTTATACCTCTGTAAGACTGGAGTCTGTCTTTGTCAGCACCCACCACAAGCACATGGTGATTGACCCTCAAGAACTATTGGAGTGCAAGTATAGTCATCTTTTATCTGGCTTAACTGAGGGCAGGGATGCTCTAGTTAATGGGCTAAAACTGGTTAATATGCGTACCAAGGAATGTGTTACAGAGACACCAGAGCAGAGTAACACAGCCCATATCCAGCAGGTATTGTTAATGGTTGGACTTTAACAGTTGCTTGGATTTTTCTGCTTTGTGAACTCTGTATCCTAGAATCAAGGAGTGGTTATTTGCCTGGGTGCAAATTTCTGCACCTTTCTGAGTCTATGTGGTTATGTGCCTGAAGTAAACCCTTGAAAGGATCAGCAGGTGTGATACTAACATAGTTACCTTTTCCTTGGTCCCTCCTGAACTGGGCAGGTCTAAACTATGTGAAAGCTGCTATCCTGTTCCTGGAAGCAATGATGATGACAAACCCTACCAGCTTGCATGGAGCCATTTCAGGCAATGTAGTAATTAATAAAAATAAGCAAAAAACTTGCTAGCTGTGTGGATGGTGTGTGTGTGGAGTTTTGTTTCTTTGTTTAACAGTTGGGTTCTAGTGCAATGGGAAGGAAAGTTCTGAATCACAGCTGTGAAAATTATACCATAAATGTTATTGTTCTTTCAAGATGCAAATATTGTCTAAAACTTTGTGACTTTTATGAGATTTATAACTGACTTGTGCATACATTTTTTTCCCCTCTATAAATAACATTGATCTAATAATGTTGACCAAATAATTTCATGGATGCTTTTAATGTTTTAAAATCTGTGGTGTTTATTTTCCATATTTGCTTTTGTTGAACCTCACACATAATGAAACTATTGAGTTTCTGTTAAAGCTTGACATTTGGCTTTTTTTTTCTCTGCAGGTATTCATGGAAACACTAGACAAATGTTTTGAAAATGTCTGTGAACTGGATTTAATTTTCCATGTAGACAAGGTACTGTGGTGAGCTTCTGTAATTTGGGGGTTTTGGGGTTGTTTTTTGTTGATGTTTGTTTTTATTTTCTTCCCCTCAAGTAAAAAGTTTTGGTTCAGCTGATATTTGGTCCTAAACTTTTTAGTGATTCTACTTTTTATTGTTAGTGAAATCTAGACAGTTTCTATCGACATTATTTTAAAAATTTGAAAACTATGCTGGAACATGTCTTTGTAAAGAAAAGTAAAATGTATTTAGTTTTGTGCGATGCTATTGCATAAATAATTGTAAAATTGGAGGCATCTGAATATTGTCTTTACTTGTCAGAGTAGGACTTTCAAGAAATAATTTGTTCTGGTTTTGTTTGTTTAGGTGTTATGTTACTCAGAATTGAAATTGTTACAGGGTTTGTCAGTTAAGCCTGGCACTTGCCTTTCACATGCTGTAATTATGTAACTTAGATGCTGTATGGAGCTTTCTGTTCTGAATCTTGAGCAGACATTGTCTTTTTTTCAAACATTTAAAAACAGTCTTATTTGAATATTCCCAGTTATCAGGAATATGCTAGTACTATTGTAATCTTTTATTTAAAAGGACCTTGCCAATTCTTGGTATAAGTAATACTTAAAATAAATAGAATTGAAAATAAAGAGATAATATATTTGTTCTTCCGGTTGCCTTTTGTGCCTACTATTGCTTTCTGTGCAGTTTTCCCCATCTGTGAACATCTTTCTGCATCAAAAGGAAAAGATGTGAAAGGAAAATAAGACAAATATCAATAGAAGTGATAAAAATAGTAACAAATTAAGTATCTGAAATTAACCCTTTGAAACTGACTAAATTTATTTCAAACTTGGGAAGTTCTTAAGGAAAAAACACTTGTGCGTTGACCAGACACTGAAATGTCAATGACCTTGAGTAAGTCTTAGAAATGATACCATGTTCATGAAAGGTCATTAGGATTCTTAGCCTGGCAAACTGCACTTGGACTGTTTTCAAAATGGTAGATTAAGGTTCAAAAGAACTTATAAAATGAGTGGCTTATGTATTACCTTCTGAGATTAGAGAACACAAGTCTTGCAATCCTTCCTGCTACACCACTTAGACACACACGCAAGTCTATGGGGCTGGATGGCATCCACTCAGGGATACTGAGGGAGCTGGCGGAAGTGCTCACCAAGACACTTTCCATCATCTACCAGCAGTCCTGGCTAACCGGGGAGGTCCCAGTCGACTGGAGGTTACCAAATGTGACGCCCATCTACAAGAAGCACCGGAAGGAGGATCCGGGGAACTACAGGCCTGTCAGCCTGACCTTGGTGCCAGGGAAGGTTATGGAGCAGATCGTCCTGAGTGCCATCACGTGGTACATACGGGACAACCAGGGGATCGGGCCCAGTCAGCATGGGTTTATGAAAGGCAGGTCCTGCTTGACTGACCTGATCTCCTTCTATGACAAGGTGACCCGCTTAGTGGATAAGGGGGAGGCTGTGGATGTTGTCTACCTGGACTTTAGTAAAGCCTTTGACACTGTTTCCCACAGCATTCTCCTGGAGAAACTGGCTGCTCATGGCTTGGACGGGCGTACGTTTCGCTAGGTAAAAAACTGGCTGGACGGCCGGGCCCAAAGAGTGGTGGTGAATGGAATTAAATCCAGTTGGCGGCCGGTCCACAACG